ACCTCTGATGTGATAATCAAAACATCCACTTTTTTTCTGCACTCAAAATGCACTTCTCATCGTGTAATCATATTGACTCACATCTTAAGAATTTCATCTGTTGTGTTTTATTCAAACAAAAAACACAGTTCGATTCATGTGAAGTAATCGTTGGATTAAGTGTTCTTTAATCCTCATGAATGCATTTTCCGTCGATATGTTTATAGATGATTGCTGGAAAGAAATAGTTGGATAGAGTTCAGTAGATGATTAAAGATTATCGATGATTGAAGTGCATTAATAATGTATTTGGGAATATATTCATGTTAATTTTGATTTCTTTAAAACATTAATGCTCAATATTTCAGACAGTTCACGCATTGGAGAAAACGTTGGATCATGAAAATCAGGTTTTGTATAATAAATTAGGATTGCATTGGCGTTTAGCGAGGAGGCCGGTCGATTTGAGCTATAGTATGACTGAGTATGTACTTCTCCTTGAAATGCTTCCGAAGGCACCACTTCTCTTGCCCGATTAAAAGTATCATTCATCTTCGGATAATGCTTCGATACCAATGATACAGTCTGCTCGTCACTGAATTGCATATTTAAGATTTTCACGATTGTGATTATTATTATGATTATTATCGTTGTTGCACAATAATCAAGCTTGTTCTCCTAATCGAACGAATGTACCAAAGTGATTGGTTTCAGAAAAGGAAAATCGAGCACTTCGCTTTCAAAAATCTTTACTTTTTGTTTGTATAATATCTTTTGAAGTGTTCGTGTTTATTGATGGTGATTCGCTGAAGGAGTTATCAGAATGAGTGAGAAATTTTCGTCATTTCTCGATGAAATAGTTTGAATTTCCAACGCAATAATCAATTACTCAAACTTCCCACCAGTGATTTTCAAAAATTGAACTTGAGAATTCTCATCCATTTCAATTTCTCTTGTACTCTTAGCGACAATTGCACTTCTGATTGTTTTTCAATCGTTTTTTTATTCATTTCATTTTTGGTGAAGTTTATTTTTCTAAATCCATCTGTACAATCATTTCGAAAACTCTGAAGTGATATCACAGAGTGAAGCAGTCAGTTGAGAAGGCTGTTTTCTGGAGGGAAGAATCAGAATATGAAGAAGTTTATCTGAGTGGTTGGGACGGATTACATTTGACATTCTGGAGAAATACTGCACAAAAAAAGTTGACCTTAAAAAGGTTTTCATAATTTTGATTACATAAATGATGAAACACTGAAGCGAATACACCAGAGAAAAAATGTGAGATGAAATGCTTTGAGGTGAGTCTTTGGAATTTTCAGGTAGCAACTTTTCAGGGAGATAGTTGTTTCAATTCCAATAATAGGTGCTTCTTTTGTTCATAAAGTAATGAGTTTAATTATCAACTAATCTTTTAAACAATGACCATGAGCTTAGATTTGAACGTTTGTTAAAATTGCTAATCATTAGAAATTGATTTGAATTGTTTTCTATTGTCTCATCGTATCTCGGATTTTGTTTCCAATCAAGTCACAACAATACTTTTTTGATTCGTCATTCATTTATTTTTTGAATTGTCGTTTCATTTTGTTTCTTTTTGTTTTATTTGCTTACGAAGGTTGTTATTTGTTCGGTTATAATGACGAAAAGCCAAGAGTTGTCAACAATGAGTGAATTGTTTGTCGTTGTTTTATTTTTGAATAGTATTACAGTATTATTTGATTGCTTGATTTGTCCTTGACTTTGTTGTATATGTTACGGCAATTGTAAATTTATTCGGTGGAATGAAGAGATAGTATTAAGAATTTTGTTAGTTGTGAAGTTCAGTTGAACTAAAGAGGTAGGAGGACAAAGCAGNGAGATAATTTGATGTTTAATGTTTGGATGAATGAGAGTGAGTGGGGTTTCGGAAAGGGTATAAGGATTTTCAGTTTTTTCTTGGTAGATTGATTTCCATTTGTCTGTTCAATTTCTTGCACACTCGAGAGTGATTTTGCAATATGTCATCGTTTATTCACGTATTTGACACGTGAACAACGAAGGTCTATCTGAACTTGTTAATGTGCTGGAATATTCATTAATATCTTTGATTTTTTGGTGATTGCTAAAAGAACAGAAGTAAATATGTAGGGGAAATGTTCTCGGTGAATTGGGCTGATATTTGTTCTTTAAAATTTGGCATTTTAAAACTTCCAAGTGTATGGATTTGTTGAATAGTTAGGTTGTATTATTTTTTGTTGGATGAGAAGTGTTCTATGCATTTGTTTCGCGATTTAAAACAAATAAATGTCATCAACTGAGCAAATTCCAATCTAATCATTAATTTTCATTTTCATTTCCTCCAAAATCAGTTCTGTACTCCCGTGTTAATGATCTAATATGATTCACATGCTATACGGTGATTCATTATGTGCATATAGTCAATTTGAGTAATCTTATTTTCTCATTGATGTACGTCAGTAACTTGTCTCCTTTATCAATATTATGCGTTTTATCGTTTTTGCAATTCGTTTTTGTTTCACATTCAACAATTTACTGAATTCCAAAGAAAATTCAACGTCAATATCGATTGAGCATTGCATTGCGTACATTAGTTTGTTGTTGATTTGTGGCCTTCGCTGATCTGTTGGTGTTTACCGATTGTGAGAGTTTCGACTTTTAACTGACAGATTACACTCATCAGGTGAATATGATATTGTCATTAGTCGGTGAAGTGACTGAGTTCAACTCCACTTTATTATGAAATGTTTTTGTTTTTGTTTTTGAGTTAACCCAAAAGTT